ACACATACATGACTGGTACCACTGTGTATCTCTGTACCATATATTACAGGGATCCAACATATTGCAGCAAGACTGGTGAGAGCAAGGAAGGTACACTGCTTCACGAATGGTCTCATCCTTATGGCCAACGTGATGATGTTGTTTATGGTCGTTCAAATTGCAAGAATTTAGCCAACACTAGACCAGATGATGCTGTCAGGAATGCTGATAGTTACCTGTATTACTATTGCGATCTGCAGTAAGGAGGTCATCAGCTAAAAGCCAAGAACTTTAGGACTCATGCAACACTATAGGACATGCACAGTTTATTTTTGCTGCTTTAGGCCTCTTTTTGCTTACCTGTAATATTACATTTTTGATTTATTACTTATCTTGGCTTAATGATCATCATTATAAATATCAACTCTAAAATTTTAATAATGCAAAAAATATTTACGCTGCACAAATTATGTTGAAAATTAAATATAACCGAGGTACTTGCTGTGTAAAAAGTATTAATAGATACACAGTAATGTATAACGTTATCACATGATAAAGGAATTAATTTTGACCTAGTGTTTGGCATAAGGAAATTACTATGTGCTGGCCGTTAAAAAGAGGTGCATGCCCATTATTTAAGCAAAGCTCTACCTTTTTTTCCCGAATAGAAGCTTGTGGTTCTATTTCTACACAGGATTTTATATTCACTGCACTTGGATCATTGCGTGTTTCATAAATCCCTCCCTTTGATACTATAATGCACTATAATTCCCTCTACCACCTAATAAGTACTGTCTTGATCTATGGTTGCAGCAATTTATATGAACTTGGACCTCATAGAGATCCCAAGGATTATGTTCTGCCTGCTGGAAACTTAAAGGAATGCTTGAAATCACTAACTGTATTATTGCAGTCAAAATCATGTTCTAGTTATTAGAACTTTTATTACGGTACTAATTTCAAAATAGTTTCCTTCTCTTCATTAAAATTAATTATATGCGGTAAGGTTTTAACTAATAACGAGTAGGCGTGGCTAATTTTTAATTGAAAATGGATGTAGCTCTTATTGTCTTCATTCTTGCTGCTACCTTTAAAATATTATTATTTCCTGCATAGTAAGAGATTCCTAAACTAACTAAAAATTATTATTACTATTTTCCAGTAAATTAGGCATTGTATCATTACAGTAAAAATACAATTATTATTATTATTTTATTCAATTTTTTTTCAGTAAATCAACTGATTTTGAAGTACATAGAAACTGGTTGGCCATTACTCACTCTCTCCCTGTATCACAGTGGTATTATGAAGTATGTCTATCAAATGTGTGTGTGATATACAAAATATGCATTAATTTTATGCTACTCCAATAAAATTTGTCGTTTCGTACCAATCAGCATTGTGTTGTAAGCAGGATTAGATATTTTTATTTACATTCCGAGCAGCCATTTTGTACCCGTGACAGGACGAAATTAGGTATACAGTGGTTTTCCTTTTTCATGGGTGGGGCAAAATTGGGTGGGCAATTTCACATTCCAGCAGAAATTACTAAGAGAGATTTTTTTATTTTTAATTTTTTCCTGATGTATACGTATGTACTTACGTTGCATAGAAAGTTTGAGCTGATTCCAATCAAAATTGGATTTCTACGGATTTTAAAGGCTACTCAAAAATCTGGCAAAAGTCCCTGTACTATAGTACAGGGTCTTTGACCAAATTATTGGCCAATTATTGTTATTTTTTATATAGGCTACTTCAGAATGGACACTGGACTATCCTCCTTTTTTTGCTTGGTTTGAGGCAATACTCTCACAGGTTGCTGGTCTTATTGATCCAACCATTGTCAACATTAATAATTTATATTACAATAACTTCACTGTTGTGTGGTTTCAAAGGAGTACTGTCATTATCACTGAGCTTGCACTTTGCTATGCTATAATGGAGTAAGGGAGAGAGAGATAAATGAAGAGGAGATTAACATTCATTCCTCTTTGTGAATATTTTAGGTACTGTAGAGTACGTGAAGGTTTCACGAGAGGTCAAACACAAGTTATGAAGTTTGTGCTCAGTTTCCAACTGCTAGCAAACTTTGGACTAGTGATAATTGACCGTAAGTTTTTAGATGTACGAGAGAGAGAGAGAAAATTAAGAAGATAAAGTAAAGTGTTTAAGGAGGTTTGTAGTGTGAAAAAGGAAGCAATTAGAAAAGGGGGAGAAAGAAAAGAGGATTAGGGGTCAGGCAAGTAGGCCACATGCAAAAAGCTTATTAAAGAAGTATGGCTGATGATAAAAGTGGGTTACCTCACCAGTGTTCATTAGATATACAGTACAGCACTCTGTATCCTTGTATTAAGGTACTTCATTATAGTAGTCTTGTCTGACAAGAAAGCCAACTAGTCACTATAATTAGACTGACACCTCAACTGGACAATAGTGCATTTTTTTATATGAACACCTTCACTGTAGAGTGAAGAAGTAACAGCATTTTTTAACTTGCTAGCAATAAGTTTCCATTATCCTACCACACTTGGTATCTGCTTCTACTGATCATGGTATCAGATAGATTATAGTCTATATAATGGATATAATGGGCAATGATGCCAATATGACATTAAGCCATGTAGCTTTCATGGGTCTGTAGAAAGAGTTGTACTTGTACATGTACTTTCGATTACTTACTTATCAATATGTTCATAGCTTAAAATACAATTTTTAACAGGCATAATCCACTGCCATAATATTATAAGTGACACCAAACTAAACAATTTTTTATTATTGTCTATATGCACTTTATGACCTGAATATTTTGCACTGTAAGGAACTGAATTTCTTGTGTTATAACAGTTAGTGATGTCTTGGTTGCACTTTATGCAGAGATGACTTAACACAGATGAATGCGTGCATGTATAGCTGCAGTAGGCTGGTAAGCATTATAAGCATTAATTACTTCAGTAGTAATCCTTAAGCATAACATATAGTCATATACACCAAAGCACATCTGCTGTGTAGTATTTCATGGCCAAACTGCACATGCTTCTATCGATGTGTTAACTTATTATATACATATTGATTTTTCACTCATCATTATTTTTGATGTTATAATGACCAGCTCGCAGTATGAATAGTAACACTTGGTAATTTTGATTGATTTTGAATAACTGTTTTATTATAAGCCAAGACAACTAATTAATCAAAAATGTAATATTACAGGTAAGCAAAAATAAACTGTGCATGTCCTATAGTGTTGCATGAGTCCTAAAGTTCTTGGCTTTTATATCACAGCTGCCCATACAGTCTAGCGACCTGTGCAGTAATAGTATTCATGGCTGGCAGCATTCCTTATGGCATCATCAGGTCTAGTGTTGGCTAAATTCCTGCAGTTGGAAGCACCGTAGACAACATCATCACGAGCAGCAAAGGCATGGACCCATTCATGAACCAATGTACCTTCTTTAGTGTAGTCAGTACCCCTGCAAGCTGTTGGATAACCATAGAACAAGTTGCAAAGATAAGTAGTTGTTTGAGTATATGATTTATATGTGTATGCTATGTAGTTCGACTGGCACAGTGGACCATTGTTGTAATATGTGATGGATTTGCCTGCTATTCCATTTCTTGCTAGCGTGTAGGTATTTTTAACTGTCCCAGACCTTGATGATGTCCATGCTCCAAACCATTCCTTGTAATGATTATCGTTTCCAATTTCCCTTATAATTTTATCAAGTCCATCACAGAGCAGCTTATGAGAATCCAGAGTACCAGAGTTGTTCCTATCACCATTAGCGAAACTAGCAGCAGTGCAGGATTCAATGTAGACAGTGTAATCGATCTCCACTTTTTGTTCCTTTGGCCTTGAGAGAAGATGAGTCCTTTCCAAATGAATGTGAACGGATTCACGTACAATCGATTCCCTGAGCTTACCAGTAGACAATAGACTTATCTCATTCACTGACAGATACTGTAAAGGTCTACTGTATTGTACAGTGTAGAGACCATCAGTATCAATGCTAAAGGCATCAGTGATTTGGACTGAGGCAGAAATACTCTCACCTGCCTTCAAGAGAACAAACTCATCCTTTGTAGGAGGGAGACGATGAATGACGATTCCTTCATATTCCAGTGGACGACCATCAAGAGAGACAGAGACAAATAGAGAGTTGAGTCCTTCAAGAGGAGTGTTACGTTTGAGTAGATAAAGATCCTCATTTGCATTGTTAGTAAACTCAAAAGAGCAAGCAACTGCAGAAAGAGCTTTATTACAAGCCATGTCAAGAGAGACTGGCCAGCCATTAGCACTGCATGTACAAGAGAAAAGTAACATTGATTTGATACTGTAGTAACATACCTGAGAGCACAGGTCAGG